TTATTATTATTATTATTATTATTATATATGACTAGGTTGGATCGGATAATGGATTGAAAATACAAAATTCCTTACCCAACTTGTACACTGTCAAGTTTTAATCAGTTATGTTTGATTCAAACTCATTGAGTTGGTTTTAATTAATTTGGATTGGTGGGTTATCCATACCTGCTTACACCCCTATCTCTACTATTTTGTTTGTCAAGTAAAGGTTCAACAAGGACATCTAAAAACAACGAAATGTATGATAAGATAAAAATTCAACGAAATTAGAGCATGTTTGAGAAAAAAAATATAATTCAAAATTTTAACTCTTTTTTTTCTTTATAAAAAAGTTATTTATAAAATAAACTATATGTTTGAGACATTAACTTAAATTTGCAAATAAATCTTTTTATTAAAAAAAAGTTTTTATAAATCTAAAAATTTGAAACTCATAATTATTTCTTAACAATTTTTTTCTTGTTAAGCTGATTTATCATATAAAAAATATTTTTTTTCAAACGAGATTAAATATTTATAAATCATTTTTTATCAAATTTATTTAAATAAAAATTTATTTTGATTATAATTAATTATAACAATAATTGATTATTTAAATAATTTAATTTTCACAATTTTTTCCAACACACTTTTAGTTTTAAAATAAAAATATTTTCTTATGACTTGTTTTTTTGTTACAATAAAGAATCACTACTAGAATTTCTCTTATTACATGCGACTTTTTCTTCGAATTTTTCATAAAAATTCGCAAGAAACGTTGTTCCTACAAATTTTTTTGCAAAATTGAATTTTTCTTGCGAAAAAATTCGCAGGAAAGTTTCCTGTATGCGGAGGTAATTTGTGTATAATTTCTATTAATAATTCTTCAACTTTAAATGTTTATAATGAATTCATCTGAAGCATGTAAATTATAGGTCTAACACTCAACCATACAAAATCAACTTGTAACGTGAGTGTTGTCCCAATTTATACTCTTTAATTGTTTTATTTCTAATCGATGTGAGACTTGAGTAAATCTTTTAATTCTTAAATTTATAAATTTTTATATATATTTTCTATTTTTCTTGCAAATTAAAATTGGCAGGAAAATCTACAAGAGAAGTTACCTACGAAATTTTTCTACCATTTAGTAAACATTACTTGCGAATTTATTTTTACAAGAAAATCTGCAAGAAATAAGATAAAATTCTTACAACATTTTCTGCAAATTTTTACCATGAAAAAAAAATTCTATCATCATTAAAATTGTAGAAAAATTTACAAAAATAAAATTTGGGAATTATTTTTCATAAAATAATTTGTAAGAAATTTTTGTAAACTATTTTTCGCAAATAAATTTACAAAAAAAAAATTGTAAAATTATTATTGCAAAAAAATTTGCAAAAAAAAAAATCTACAAATATTTTTTTATAAAAGAATTTGCAGAAAAATAACATTTTTCTAGTAATGAGTATAAATCTTCTACTACTTTATAAATTAATAAATAAAAAGGAATTCGAATTTTTCTAACAGCATTTCGTTCTCGTATTCACAATATGCAATGCAACGTGAGTTTGAACTTTTGAACTATAGGAAAGAGTATTCCTCCTAGATAGGTTAAAAAGTTTGCTTGCAGTATTGGGTTAAGTATGTAGATATATAAGTGATAAGTGACCATTTTTTAATGATCTAGAATAATTTTGATATCATCTTATAATATAAAATTAATTTATAAAATGAAGATTGTTTTTTATTTATATATTATTTAATTATCTAATCTTTAGTTGATGTGAAATTTGAGTTTTTTTTCTCAATACTAACAAATTAAATTAGGAATTGAGAAATCTTAAAAAATAAAAAGATAAAAATAAAAGGATAATTACCTCATTAGATACCATGTCAGCATAATAAAAACATTTCATTCCTGTTACAAATCAACGTAAAATAATGATAGGAAGCAACCTATCTTGGACCCGAATTAAATACACTATAATTGTAAAAGAGAGTGAACTATATTACTCTACTGAATAATTA